GGAAGCCCTTTCCTCTGGACCAGGAGCAGTGGGACGACGGCTCAGAAGCCCCTACCTCCGGGCCGGGAACAGTGGGACTCTGCGTCTTTGTATTGTGGAATCAGGTGGCTGCCTGTCTGCAGCGGGGCGATTCAGCATCTTCCGCGTGACTCAGGACCTCGGTAGGGCGTGCACAGACCTGCCTGTCTGCAGCGGGCTGATTCGGAGTGTTCTGTGTGACTCAGGACCTAGGCAGGGCATGAGCAGACTTGCCTGTCTGTAGCAGGGTGATTCGGTGTCTTCGGGGAGACTCAGGACCTCGGTAGGGTGTGCACAGACCTGCCTGTCTGCAGCGGGCTCACCTTCTTCATTTCTAACTGCATGGCTGTGGGTCTTTTCTGTTGGATCTCTTAAGTTACATCATCTTTGATCTCACTGAACATCTTATGGATCTGTATTCTTCTTTTATCTCTTCAAACATTTCAACCATTTGATTTTTTAAACTTTGTTCACATTGGTGCCCAGAGAAAGAGCTTTGGTTAGTTAAGAATTTTTGAAGACATCACGATGCCTTGTTTTCTCATTTTTTTTTTTTTTAGGTTTTAGTGCTGAAGGTTGAGGGTCAGTTAGAGTAGAAAAATGGTCACTAGTATGGAGAGCTAGTTAATGTCCATTTTCCTGTGTTGTGATCTTGACTTTTTTATGTTTTAGTGTAGGTCTTCAAACTACTCAGCATAATGGAATCAGTCCTGGCTGCTGTGCTGAAAAGAGAGAACCACTACCCTCTATATCAGCATCTACAGAGCCAACCATATATCAATCATGCAATTTAAAATCTATTTTAACAATTTCACCCTTTGCTTGATGACCTAAAAAGTTGTGATACATTACTGCTGACAGATAAACTGGGATATAGGGGACAACTGAAGGGGAAAAAAATGAGGAAAAAGGAGGGAATAGATGTGAAAGAAGAAATGGAGAAAAAAAGAGATGGCAGCAAATGGAGGAGAGAGAAGAGGTCAAGCTTTTTGATACTGTTTTTAAAACTGGAGTGGAGGGCTGGTGGAGATGAGGTTTGAGAAAGTTTTGTGAGGGGTTGGTGGAAGGATGCAGAGGGAGGGAAGGGTAATTGCAGATTGAAGGAAGCAATGAGAGGGTCAGTACCAGTTCCTAAGCTGCAGTAAGTCTGTGTTTGAATCCTCTATGCATAATATTTGGTGAGGGTTATCCTGACAAGCCTGTGAAAGATACTATTTAGACTGGAGCACTAATTAATCCTTAATCTCCTTTCACATGTACAGCACTTCATGTATATATTAATATTAATATATATTATTAGATCAAAGGAAAAAAGTAAAAAGTAGAGAAAGGGATAAGAATAACCTCACAATTATAAAAGCAAGCAGGTAAAGTCCTATTGTTTGTTCCCTTGCTGACCATTGAGTGAAAGGGTTTGTTGGTCCAGGCAGACTCAATCCTGCCTCCGCTCCATAGCCAGTGCTCTGCTTAGTTTCAGATTCACTGCAGCAGGAGCAAATAGCTGGACTTTTAAATTCTATGGGTTCTAATGTTTACACTGCTTAGGGTTATTAGGTTGGTTCCTGCATGTGGCATCACTTTATTACTCTCATTTCCCCTTCCCTAGCCCCTTCCCCCTTTCTTTGTTCCCTTGGCCAATTTCCTTACTGGACAAGATCTGTCTTCTTGTCCTTTTCTAGTTTTTTTATCATTTTATTTGTTTGTGCTTTGCCTCAAATATTGTATCTGTTGATAATGTTACTGAAAGTTCTATAATTTTTCTATCATAACATAAGTGATATAACAAGGATTTGAGAAAAGGAACTGCACAATATTGTACATACTTAGCATGGTTGAAGACTGCGGTCCAATTCTCAGCACCAAAATAAACAAACACAATTAAAACATACAAGCTGAGATTTAGCAACTTAATCTAATAGTGAAAATTGCGAGTCTCTTAACAAGGCGATGTTCGTGATTGATATGTAAACGGGTTAACTGCGCTGGTGTGCTGTCCAAGCTTCTTCTCCCCATGGGTTGCAGAATGTGCTTGCCCTTGTCCAGAGACACTTGAAAACAGACAAACTGAATGGCACAGTTAGAAGTCCACATTAGCCTTTCATTAGGAGCCCAAAGTGTCCTATATTCTGGAGGTTTGTGATGAAATAAATTAATTTCAAACTACCCCAAGTGTGAGAATTTCCTGTTCAACTGGAAGTGACACACTGATGTAAAATCTACTTTTTCCATTCTTGACTCGCTCTGAGAATAGCCTGAGAAGATCAGATGTTGTTTGCTCTTGACCTGGATGTACGGCATTAAATTTCACTTTCTATTACTCAGCTGCAGCAGGCCTTCTTACACGTGTAACCAGACCTTTTCAGTGAAGAACGCACGACTTCTAGCAACAGAAGGTATGTGGAGCTCCTCTCTGTCTCTCTACTAATCTAACTCAGATAGTGGCAGAGCAAATGCTACATGGGATGCGGCTGAGGGGCAATTCAGATAGAATAAAATCAAACTGAATGTAGACACCTTTATTTAAAAAATTCAGGGAAAAATCCTAAAGTAAATACATTAGAAGATGTTTATAGTATTCTGATTATTGCTTATGAGGAATTAGTGAAAAAAACCTCACATATTTTGATTTGTTACCTAATATAACTTAAAATGAAGCCCATAACTATCACAGAGATGAATAATTAACTTTAGATATTGTAATCTTGTAATTTTGTTGGTCTTTAAAGAATAATATATTGATTTATATTTAAGCCAGCAATTAGAGATTCTTTTTTTTTTTTGCTTAAATTCTTTTATTGGTACATTTTAGGTATGCAATACGTTTACATTTATCACTGGGTGCTTGTACCTGTACATGATGTATCTTGGTTCTTATTTTTTCCCCATTACCTGTGCACCCTTCACTCCCTCCACCCTTCCCTAGTTACATAGACTTTATTTCCAGTTTTTCCTTTTCTCATAATTCTTAAAAAGAATTTTGTGCAATGATCAAAAACAAAGACAATTCATCACCTGCTTAAACAAAAATAGTGTTTAAATAAAAATCAGGATTAGCTAGGTTACATAAAATGCTAAACTTAACTATGAGCAACCAAAAGACTTCTAAAAATTGTTCCAAATATTTCAAAATTAGATAATATCACACTGATACCAGATTGTGTAGTGATTTATTTCACATGGACTAATTGATATGAGTCAAAAACAATAGCATGCCAATTGTGACTAAAATGTTTAAAGAGTTAGAACTCACTGAGAACTGGAAGTGCTAGTTTGACGGCCAAGTCTTTTACATGCATTATGTTTTATATATTTATATTTGCATTTAGAAGTGTGAACTAGGTTATCTGATGGTTAGTAAAACTTTAATGGTCACATTATAAGTTTCACAGCCAGAACTGATTCTAGATCTCATATGTCACAGAACATTTTCTAACATATACAATATCGTACAATTTTTTAGTGATTTCTCTAAAGTCCTCAATTATTCAAAATAAAAGATCATCCAATAATCTCTAATCCATTTTAATAAATAAGTGCAACCTAGTAGATAAAAGTAATGTATAAAAGTTAATATATATCTGCTTTTCTATTCATTATGTTTAGAGCATTCAGTTTTTAACTGTCCTTATAATTCAGTTTGTCATAAAAGTTAAGGACAATTTTTTATGTATGCATTAAAATATTCTTGGTGTTAGAATATTCACGTGGAATCTGCTTTTTACTTATTATATATATCCTTATTCCTGAACATTTTTATTTATAATTAATTTATTTTTTATTCCCTAACCAATAGTATTTTGTTCAAAAGAGAATATCTTCTAAAAGTTACTTATTTTACCATAAGACATGCGTTTAATGTTGGGAAATATTTAAATTTTTCAACCTCAAAATGAGCACCAATACTGATGCCTTCCCAGCCCTCTTTTGATGCCATTTGCTTATCTCTCAAGCACAATGACCAGAACCAGATCCCTGACATCACTCAGCCTCCGACATGAGTAACCATCGAGTAGTGTACACAGAGCTGAATCTGGCCAAGGACCCCAAGCAACAGCAAAGGAAACCTAAGGGCAACAAAAGCTCCATTTTGGAAAGTGAGCAGCAAATAACCTATGCAACGTTAACCCTTCAGAGTGCTGCTCAGGAGCAGCGAGGGAATGGCAAGGACCACAGCTGCAAAGGTATCACTTTTCGTCCAACCGCACGGTGGCTGTTCTAGAATGTGCAGTTAGGGTGCAGAGGTGTTGGTAAAAAGTAGGGAGTAGGCTCACATATTTTTAACTTGCGAGGACAGGCACTTTAACTTGAGTTACGCTATTCTAATTGAAGGTATGGAGAACTTATGGAGCTTTACTGACAACACAGTGGTATATTCTAGAGCCAAATTGCAGCTGTAGTTGTGGGTTTGGTGTTCAGGTTTCTATGTGTTTCCCTGTGCCTGTGGTTTCCCTTGCATGTAAATCTTTTTCTCAGTTTTGTTTTTTATTAGTACGTGTTTCCAGAACATAATGATTACATCCCTTGTGGGGAGTTGGTACATGGACGTGACACATGTTAATTCTTTTTTAAAACTTCTCCTCCCCGTCCCTTCATCTTTTATTTTTTTTTAAAAATAATTTTATTGGTACATGCTTGCAGTATATGAGTTTATATTTGTCTTACGGAGGAGGTCATGCACATATATTGATTCATTTTTATTCCCTTTCCCTCTCCATTCACCCCCCCTTTGCCTCTAGATCGCCTTTCCCCATTTCACTATCATTGTCATGATTGCTATTATTATTATTATTTGTAGCTCATGTGGTGTTTACATTCATTGTGGGCATTTGGTACACGAGTACGACTCATCTTGCATGTTTTTGCACCCCTTCCCCTCCCTGCTCCCCTTCTCAGTGGCTTTCTCCAGCGCCCCCTTCTCACTGCTGCCATTTCTCTGTCTGTAGACTTCACATCACCTCCTGAGAAGCTCCTTGCTGGAGCCCTGGGAGGCAGCTGCCTCATCTTAGTGACCACAGTGATAGTTGTGATGACAGTCGTAATTCCCTGTAAGTATATTTTTGAAAGATTGTACAAGAATGTTCCACCCTAGTGATTGGGGGTGCCTCTGACACGTCATAATGTCAAGGAACACAGCTCTTATTTAATATTTCTGTTTGAACTGTGGATAGTTATTCTGAATTTATCCAAAGTATAAATAATAAAGGATAGTAGTCAGTGCTTACTCTTATTATATGTACCCATTGTGATTTCATAACTTAAATATATGCTTTAGGAACCTGAAAAACCTTATTGAGAAATACAAATTAATTGTTTAAAATTAAGATATTGTGATGTTTGACCATTAGGCTTTTACTGAAAGTATTTTCCCAAAGACTTCATTGTTTTATTAATTTTCTTGGTAAATGTAATTTTATTTTACATTGTTCTAATTGTAAAAATTATATAAATTTCAAAAAAAGAACTAAAATCACTACTGTTTACTTAGATATTAATGTTTATAAGATATTAATGTTTATACTCTTTGTAGCTTCTGTAATACAGGAGAAGAACAAATCTTCCTTGCTAAGAACTCCAAAAGGTATATAGTATTTTCAAAGTTCTTATATTTGCATAGATTATATTTTGTATCTAACTTAGGCCACAAAAATTGATAATAGATTTCTTGGGGGAAAACAAGCTAGAAAATGGGCATTAAATGTTCATAAAGATTATAGGAGAGATTCATTTTTATTCAATGATAAGAAATACTCAAAATTACTGTCAATCTTTTGGATGATTGGCTAAAATTTCCTACTGGTATAACATGATGAGAGATAAATTTACTATTCTAGAAAAGAGGTTTCATTCACTGATTTCAAGATGCTGGTAGGATGAAGCTTTTATTTTTAATTTATTAGAGCATATAACTTACAAGATGAGGGGCTGACCCTTTTTGTTGCTTTTCGGTATAAGTGCATGTTTTGTTTGATATGTATCAACCTGTGGAGGTGTGTAGATACGTTATGTACATACATGTTTATATGAATGTAAACATGTAAACTTATTTTCAATTTTAAAAATTCACACTGTTTCTCGATAGAAACCCATACTCATTCTTCAGCATATCATTGTGGTCCTTGTCCAAAGAAATGACTAACATTTTCTGACAATTGTTATTACTTCGGTGTGGAAAAGAAAACTTGGACTGAGAGTTTGGTGTACTGCACTAATAAGAACTCGAGCCTGTTGTACATTGACAATGAGGAAGAAATGGTAAGATTTTATGTGTTTCAAATGGTTAATTAAAAGCTTTATTCCAGCCAATATTATATTTATACCACTCATCCGTATACTTATATATATATATATTTCACTTAAAAGCCTATATAATATTTTGTTGTTTGACTTTACAACATTTTATTTTTATTGTTTACTGCTAATGCACATTTAATTATTTCCAGATTTTGCCTTGCTGAGAAAGCTGTTCTTATACAAAAGCTTTCCAGAAACAACTTTGCTATCAATTTTGCCGCACATAAAGAGCCCTAATCGTGTCACGGTGGAGCATGAATGTGGGATCACAAGCAGGACTTTGCAGCCCCAGCTGCCCTGGTCCTGTTATAATCTCCTGTGTTCTTCTTCCTCCTGCACCACCATCCTGGCTTTGGCTGTTGTAAATTAGCTTTGCCTGGTTCTGAGCTTTACATGAATGTAATCATGCTGTATGCATTTTTACAAGTTTTTCCTTTCTCCCTTGTACAGTTTGAAGGTAATTTTCAGAATGCAGCACTTTGAAGTCCACTCAAATGCTTCCTGGCTGCAGTATTTGTAGTCCTGGAGCTCCTTGCTGAAGCTCAGGAGGAGGAGAAGCACTTCTGCTGCAGCTTGTTGTAGGCTGGGCTCCTGAGAGGTGGTCTCAACTGTCTCCCAGTCTGGCCTGGGGCTCCAGAGGGACTCAGGTTACACAGAGGGAAAGAACCTGCAGAGCCACTGATCACTGCTGTCTGGGGCCAGGAGACTGCAGGTCGAGGTCCCTTTCCTGCGTTGATGACAGATGGGAGATGCCCTGCCACTCCAGTTCTCTAATCCTGGGGCTAAACCATTTCACCTTTTCCTTTGTGCTCTTCAGAAGTCTCCTTTACTTGTTTCTTTCATTAATTTGTGAGTTTCTGTCAGAAAGAAACACAGAAAATAAGGTAGTGCAAATTTGTTAGAACCATCAGTATTTCACCAGTGCAGGCAGAAAGGGGCAGGTTCATTAGCTCACAAAGGTGTGGTGTCCAGAAAACCACATCTGTGGCTTCCATCTCACTGCTTTCTTCAGTAGTAACCAGGTAATCTCCTTCTAAGTCCAAACTCTGAGAAACCTGGTAGAAAAATACACCTTTTCAGTCACAGTATCTGGAAAACTTAATACATAGTGTTGAGAACTTTCTTTAAATTTTACTAGGTTAATTTTGTGAACATGGGTAATTATTATGTTACATGAATCACAACATCCTTTATTAACATAAGAAAAAAGCAAATTTTAAGAATAAATATCTAAGAGTTTGTTTTCAATCAATATTCAAAGCATTGTGAAAATTTTAACAATGCAAACGATGTTTTTCATTTTAATATGGTTTATCTTATTGATTTTTTTGTCTTGAACATTAAGAATCCTGCAAAGTAATACATTATTTTTAAAAATAACGAAAGCTTTCATACTGATTATGTAAATGAAATTATTTGTTTCTTATAGAAATTTCTAGGGTCTCTCTCATATTCATCTTGGATTGGCGTCTTCCGTTCCGGCATAGATCGTCCATGGCTGTGGGTAAATGGCTCAAGGTTCAACCTGCCATAAGTTTTTTAAATTGATACATGACATATAAAAAAGAAAAATTCAGAAGAATGTTATTATTAATTTATTTGAATTATACACATGCAGAAAGATGTTACAAGTTTGTGAAATATTAGTATAAATATTAATGAATGGGTTGTTTTCTAAATAGCAGCTCTTACCAATATTATTATATGAAAAGTCATCATGTATTTAATATGTCATTAAAAGTATATTACTTTTTTTTACAGGAAAATGCTTTTGTTTCATAGACCATTCCCCAAACATATAACTTAATGGTGCCTTCTATACCATTACAGAGTGAAGGAATCATCATCTCATGAAGAGGACTGTGCATGGCTGTCCTCATCTGGCCTTATTGCAGACAATTGCAGATCAGCACACACTTATAACTGCAAACATAAAGTTTAGAATTAATATACCTGAATTTGGAGGCTGTCAGGTAATGTTCTATGTCATGAAATGGAAATAATATTATGATCATACAGGTCTTAATTGAATCATAGGATTTCTTCTAATGACAGAATTATTCAAAAACTACTATTGAAGAGTAATATTTATACTACAAAGGAAGGATACTGCTTTGTGTCTAGTTCCTTTTGCTCAACAGAGTATTTATGGCATTCACCTCTTCTAAAAGATTGCACCTGCTACCTGAGTCCATTTCTTTGAGACATCAGAACAGGTAAACCCACAGAGGCCGTGTGGATTAGCGGTTGTGAGAGGTGAATAGAGTAAGAGGAGGATGGACTCGGACATGACTACTAATCAGTATGGTGTTGCTTTTGGGGACAGGGTAAATGTTAACAAATCTGGTAGGTGCAACTATAGGAATACTAAATTCCACTGATACACAGCCATGTTAATGGATGAATTCCATGCTGTGTACATTGCATTTCAATAAAGCTGTTTAAAATTTCTTCTGAGATTATATGTGAGACTACATTTAATCTTCAAGATAATTTTAAAAGTTTGGTCATATTTATAATATCAACATTTCCAACCATTCTCATGCTAAGTTCTTCAACATGTAGCTTTCTTTTCTATCATATTTTGTATATTTGACATTCAAGTCTTACTGGAAGTACAACTATTTGCTACATGCTTTGTAATGGTATCCTTACTTTAATATTTTCATTAGTAATTTTTCATACCATAAATAGAAACACCATTGATCTTTGTGTGCTGATTTTATATCCAGTGACTTCACTGATTTTAAGTGTTAATTCTCCTATTCAAGTAAAGATTCTTTGGGATTTTCTTCCTAAACAGCTACTTTATCTGTTAATAGTCACATCTTTTTTCTTTTCTTTCCAAATGCAGAATCTATTTGTTTTTTTCTTGACTTATTTTTATTGGTTGATTTTTTGTTTCCAGTGTTAAAATGAAGTTTCTATATTTCTCATATGTCTCATCATGTATTTTAGGCGAAATGATTTCAGAATCCTGATTTATGAATTTTTTCATCATATTTTCTCATAACTGAAGAAGTTTTACAATATTCCTATTTTCTAATAGATTTTCTTAACAACTGATTTTGTTTTATTATTTTTTCACCAGTTGGAGGACAGGATTTTTCTGTATGTTTATGAAAAATTACTTATATTTTCTTCAAATAGTAATTTTCAATATTTGATATTGAATTTCTGAAATAAAATCAGACTTGCCATTCTGTATTGGATTTTTATTGTATGTTAAAATGTCTTTCCTTATTCATGTTCATAGAGAGACAAATGAGTACTTACTCTGCTAGTTTTGCTCTCAAGGGTTCCTTAGGCAGCTGTCCCCTTTATAACCAGAAGCCCTGTGTAGGAGTCCTATTATATATGTTACTGTTCAGGGTGGATTTCATGTGAATTTCTAGAATTGCTATGTAGGAAGGGTTATATAAGAAATTCAGTTTAATACATGTGATTTTACTCACATTCTTTTTGTTTTACTGCATTTGGTCATAAGTGTACACATTCTAGGAATGTCTATGTCATATAGATATTAAAATGTATTCTTAATATGGTTTATTATCTGCTTAGTACAGGTTAAAAGTGACATGATAGTTTTACCTTCAATCCAGATTTAAAATATTTATGCCTTCCCAATTTTATTCTTCAATAGTCTTTTATCAATTTCATTACATCTTTTCCATGAAAATACCTTTGGTTTTAGATCTTCTCTATTATGATTGTTCTCTGTCATGGTTTTGTGCTACTTTCTGCTTTCTACTTTCTGCTTAATTTGTATTTAATTTCAGCTTTTAAAAAAGTTTCTTGTAATGATACTCTTATAATTCAGTTTCTTTTTTTGTAATGTTGCCTTTAAGCCAATCAGTTTCTCAGGAGAAAGAGTTTTGCTGTATTATATTTTCTGTGTGAATTTGTATAAAGATCATGAATATTCACTGTGACAATTTCTTTGATAAAATTTTTAAATTTTGGGGTTATTGACTTCATGGGAAATCAGACAATTTTCTTTGAAGCTGAAATATTCTATCCTCTGTTTAAGTGTGGAGAAGTAGACTGAGGAACAGACATTAAACTTTTATATATTTTTAATTAAAATTTAAATTCAAAATGTCTTTTGGGAAAACTTGACCAATGAGCTACTGCATCATTAGCAGAGTGTTATATATTTGTATGAATATGCATGAAATTAGGAAATTGTTATGTATTTGTGGAAATGTCCATATTAATTTAAAAATACAAGCATTCTGTGTTGGTGTAAAGTGTATATGTCAGTTTGTGTGTATACATTTGTTGGTTATCTAGTTTAAGTATTTCTGTAGCCTTCCTAGTATATTCCTTATGTGATAAGCAATAATACAGAAGTGCTTAAATATCCATTATTATTGTTTGCTTATTTACTTCTTTCAATTCTAC